CAATATGCTGCAAACATCAGACTGTACTTAAAATGCTAGTAGATCAGAATGGCAGAAGCAAATATATTCTTTCAGTTCCTTCATCCTGGAGAAAGATTATTAAAAATTTATGGAGTGTTGTGATTTTGGGTCTGTTTTAAGCACTTTATCTTTGCTGTTGCAATTGAAAAGCAGGAAAACATGATCCCAACGTGGCCTAAAAACTCAAAACCAAACACATAACAGAAGAACAGAAAATTACAGTTATTTTCTTTCTGATGATTCCAAGATCTCACCTCATAATACGCAAAGGCTAGAAACTGTATTACAGTAAAGAGATATATGTTAAGTGTGCATATACATAGCACAGGTTAGACTACACTTTTATAAAGCAGCTGCTATTAAGCTAGGTAAAATTTCCTTGGGCAGCAATGGCATGTGAAACAAGGGCAGATGTTTTCTGACAGCTTTCAGCTGACAGCTAGAGCTTGCCAGGGGAGCATGAAAGCAGAGTGAGAGAGAACCTGGTAAGAGGGTTGAGATTTAGGTCTCTGGGTAAAAAGAGCCCTTCAAAATTTGACCCTGTGACATTTCTTCCAGAACCTCAGAGATGTAAGAAATAAAAAATGTTGTCAGGTTGCTTTCTAAAGGGAATCTAAGACGCTCCCCTCAAATGAAATAGCTCCAATGCATTAAATTTCAGATTAGACTGCAAATCCCAAAGGGCAAAGGAGGGCCTCCTATTTTATTCAGTGAGGAAAGCTTTAGTTACGTTGATTTCATTTAAATTATTCTGTAGTTTGAGAGTAAGAGCTATTGCTTTATATTTATTCATGTGATTTTGACAATGCCCTCTAAAGCCTGGAAAGAATATGCACCTCTGATTTGCATTGTGTGCAGTCAGTTGCCAATAAACCTACCTCAAGAGGCATAATTCTTCACAAAATAAACCCTACCACAGCTCTTGCTGCTGATTTCTTTAACTTTGGATTTTTCAAACCAGTAAAATGTCTCTCTTGGCTCTTACTGGTTCCACTGGAACAAGTGCAAGTGTCTGCTTCTGTTCTCATCTGTTTCAGGTGGAAGCACTACTACAGGCTAAGCACATGCTCAAACAATTTGTTGAATTGTGGCTAAACTTAGCTCTGTGGTTATATTTCAGTGCTTTGCAAGATTGAGTCTCTGTAAACAAAAAAAAACCCAAAATCTCCCAAATTGCAGCAAAAGTATTTGATTTCTTCTAGTTTAGTTTGGCCTCAGTAAAAATAATAAATGGTAACCCTCTAGAGATACTACTCTCTATTACAGCAAAATATTTCCCTTTTGCTAAGGGCACCATGGGAAACAAAGTGTTTTAAAGCTATGTGTTCACAGAAAAAGATTTTTCTAAGCCTTGGCTAAAAAAAAATAGTTTGATTCAACATCCCCTGATGAGGCCTAGAAGGAAAATTGCAAAATAAGGTACAAAACCAGAAAGTAAGTCTCTTTTAGTGCTGAAAAACAAAAATAAACTAAAAAAAGACCCTGAGCAAGGATTTTGAAAGACTATCGAAAAGATGAATCCTCAGATTACAACCATCCTTCTCATCTTCACATGTAACTGCACTTTCTACCAATCACCTTTCACCTCCTCAGGAATCATAGAATCCTTAAGGTTGGAAGGGACCTTTAGAGATCATTTAATGTAGTCCAACCTCCCCACGCTCACAGGGTCACCCAGAGCACGGGGCACAGGGCTGCAGCCAAGCGGGTTTTAAACATCTCCAGAGCAGGAGACTCCACAACCTCTCTGGGCAGCCTGTGCCAGGCCTCTGGCACCCTCACTGTCTAGAAATGTTTCCTTAAGTTCCTGTGGAACTTTTGGTGCCTCAGCTTGTGGCCGTTTCCTCTAGTCCTGTCGCTGGCCACCACTGAAAAGAGGCCGCCCCCTCCTCCTCACTGCCTCCCTTGAGGTATCTATAGACAGTGATCAGGTCCCCACTCAGCCTTCTCTTCTCCAGGCTGAACAGGCCCAGCTCCCTCAGCCTTTGCTCCTAGGGCAGATGTCCCAGGCCCCTGATCATCCTGGTAGCCCTGCGCTGGACTCTCTCCAGCAGCTCCACATCCCTCTTGTCCTGGGCAGCCCAGAACGGGACACAGTCTCCAGATGTGACCTCACCAGGGCTGTGTAGGGGTGGGGGTGAACCAGAACGCATAGACCCAACAACCTCTGCAGCTCTGAGGACTGTTACTTTTACAGTTAATTGGTACAGGTTTCAACTCAAATATGCATTTTTTTTTTTTTTAGGTTGAAAAAATCACTTGAAGGTTGTAAAATTCCTACCACCAACTGCTTATGACAATCAAACACACACTTGAGAATTTGAATCAACATGTGCAGCGAGGTTTGCATTTGAACACAAGATCGTGTTCAGATGTCCTTCTGTTTGAAGTGAACAGATGCAGGTGGTAAAATTTTACTAATTTACTCATATTTGTGCAGACACAATTGTTTTCTGCTGAAATAAAGGCAAGGAAGTACATTGGAGACAACATTTTAGCATAGAGGAAGCTTATTTAAACAGTGTTTTGGAGGCTCATCTACAGAGTCTCTAACAGATGACTATGTGCCAGCTATACCTGTGCTCCAAGGAAGGCAGCACACTGATATGAAAATCATAGATATGTTAGTGACTGTCTCACACTTGGACTAAAAAGTTGCTTAAAAAAATGCAAATATTACAGAGTGAACACCACCGAGTGCAAACTTTGTGAACTTTCAGCTTGCTTCCTCCACTGCAGCTTGAAGTATGGGATTAGGCCCCAGCTGCCTACATCTACTTGTGATACACATGCCCTGCACACTAAGAGATGCTATGAAAATAAGCAAATGTAAGTGCTAAACAAGTTAAGGCTTTTACGCAGTATCTTTTATTAGACTTACTGCATATTTTGAAAAAGTAGACAACTCCAATTACAAAATTTTCCTCAAATCGTTCAAAGGTTATGTCTATCCATAGCCTATGATGCACCTTGGATCTCAGTTTACTCATATCTTTGAGAAATACCAAAGAGTTGGAATACACTCATAGAGCTCATTGGAGGAGCTTTGGACTTGGAGGAGTATCTCTGGACACCTCACAAGAGAGAATGGGCTAGTGGGAACCATATAAGAAAGTGCAATATAGCCTTAGTTTAGCTGCAGTGTTTAAATTCAGGTTCTTCTAACACAGAACCTCTTCCTCTTTCAACTCCCTGGACACCAGCTTATTACAACCAGATTATCTGCACAAAAGAAAAGTTATTTCACTTCCCTTTTTTACTACTACTGGTAGCTTTTCACTGACAAAAAGCTACTGATAGATCTAAGGGCTGGCAGTGCCTCTGAGGGAGAGTTCCCGTAACTTTGACACAGCGTGAGACTAATGAGCATAAACTCATGAGCATAAATATAATACAAATAAAATCAACTTTGATCTTCAACAAGCTAGGAATCTACAAGAAAGAGGTCCCAAGTGGTTCTGTGCTCTGTGCACACTACACTGCTGCTCTCCAAGACACATGGAGATTGTCCAGGGCCAGTGGCTTTCTTCCAGGGTATGCTGCCAGATTCAGCAGAGCTCAGGTTTCTCTATAAATATGTTCAAATCCCATTGACTTTGCTAGATCTTAAAACATAAGTACATACTAAACCCTAAAGCACATAAAGTGCTTTATAGCACTGGGCCTTTCATGACTTGCATGAGTTATGGCGATGATTCACCATCATATCAGAGCATCACATTCAGGATTTAATAAAATAGGGCATTTCTCCATGGCTTATTTGTAAATTTTCAATTTGTAAATGAAGAAAAGCTTTTTTCCCCCCCTAGATTATACAGATCAAACCTGAAAACAAGACTTTCTGTGGTTCCTAGGGAAAAACAAAGTTGATGTGCTTAAGCTAGTCAAAAGCGTGTCACGGAGCGATTGGTGGCGGGGTGCGAGTGACACAATGCACTTCACTCATATGAAAGAATTTATTAATATGGACAAGGATTTCATGAGATTCTATGGCAAGGTCGCTAATTATTCACTGCCTGGAGGTTCAAGATAATACACAATTATCATGGGCACCCTCCCGTTGGGTCACGAGGTTCAGATTGAGAGGAGTCTGGGTGAGGCTGGATCCAATCCTAGTCCCAGACCTGGTCAACGGTTTACGACTAAGGGATTTTGTGCACAGTTACAAAGTCAAGTTTACAAATTCAGAGAGAGAGCGCGCTATATTCACTTACCACAAATCTGTTGTGGAAAGGGATCTCTCAACCTCGAGGAGTAACCTTGAGAGGCGACCCTGCTCAAGGGGAGATCCTGATGTGCAGCCTTCTGCAGCCTGCAAGGAGAGATCAAGGGGCTCTCGAGCTGTCCCCGGATTTACAGGATAAGACTTGTACTCTTTCCCTCATTTCAGAGGGCTTTTGCCTGGTGTCTGCACCATCAGCCTTATCTCCCCATCAGCATGCAGCCATCAGCACCTATTGCTGGCAAATGTCTGAGTCTGGGAAGAAAACAAGGAGCCAACTACCAGGATCACATAATATCCCTGGTGGTTCACACCTGAATAGGGCTCCATGTGAAAAGTCTGGTTGAGCTGAGAAAGGAGCATATCCGTCACAAAGTGACAGGAGAAATTCCTTTCCCCTTGGTGTGCAATAAACAACGTTGTAAAACTCAGGAAGGAGAGCTCATATTTACTGTTCTGTTGAGAATAAACTTTTTGCTAATAATAATAACTGTCCAAAATAGTTATATCTGAGGTAGTGCTTTTCCACTCAGATCATTCTGACCAGCCCACCATCAGACAGCAGTACTCAGATATCCTGCTATTAGAAACAAAGTTGTGGAAACCTAGGAATTTTGTCAAGGCACATCTGTGAAACTGCACAACATGACAGTGACGTTCCTGCGATCCATCTTGTGGATGTAGAAGTAGTATCTCTTCTCCAAACACGTTTGGACTGATTCTGGTTTTCATGACAAATGAATTTTTCTCTCCTCAGGATGGAAAGTAAGAACCTCTTCCTGAGCTTATTACTCTGCTACAGTTTGCTCAGAGCTGCCCATTCCCACCTGGTCATTGAAGAGAAGGCAGAATGCAACCTGTCAAAGAACAACAAAATGAATCTCCCAGATCTCTCGTCCATCTCCATAGTAGGTTAGTAAAATCTACCACTTGGCACCAAATTAACCAGATTTGCATAAAATACTGTTATAAATTAATATGGGGTGTTTGGGTAGCCTACTACAAATTTCAGTTTCATACAAATTTTTGGCTACTACACAGAGGTGCAGTGGCAATTCAGCCCTGACATCCAAGAACAACATTATGGCAAACCATAGTTCAGAGTAAAAACAAAAAAAAATCCTTTAGCTTTATAGTTCTTCCCTGAAGCTCCTATCGTGCTGCAAGTCTTTTTATATTCCATAGAAATGTTTCTCCATTAATATTTCAAAACTAATGCTCAAAGTAGGTTGGTCTCTTACTTGGTTTCCTTTATTTTCTCTGCACTTTTGCTCAGCCCAATATTGCTTTAAGAACCAACAGTAATTTCTTAGCTCCTTTCCAGACACATGCCTTTCCAATGAAATCTGGACCACTGAATCCCTAACTTGGCTGAAGGTGGTTCTCTTAACTTCAAGTTTTTTAAACTCGTACTGCTCTTCCTATAACATCAAAGAAAACACAAGAAAGCTTGAACTAGAACCACTGTCTTAACTCACTCTTCTAAAAAGGACCAAAATAGATGGAAAGCCCCTTGTGACACTTCCGACCAGGGCTGCACTTGCTTCTTCAGGCCCAGAGGCATCTGCAAAGCTATTCCAAGGTTTTATTCATAACAAGACACCAATATGGTCCTTTCTTGTCCTGTATCTAAAGGAAGCTTGAACCAATGCCAAGCAAGCAAGAAAACTGGTACAAATCATTTCCATTTTTTTCCAGTCCATGGAATCTGGACTGTGTTTTGAAGGAGCTTATTCCAGCTGGAGAGCCAGGTCCTCCGATCCTTGGGTGAGCTGCCCCGCTCGCACTGCCTGCAGCCCCAGCAACACCCATGCAGTGCTCAGGGTTCAGTGTGAAGCCACAGCTGCTGATTTTTATTATGGTAATGCTACCGTAGCAATGGGTTGATGAGCTGCTTTCTCCCATTTCCATGGAAATAATTAATTTGAAACAAAGACGGGGAAGGTTTAAGCCACTGCAGCTTCCTCTTCCCTCCTAATACATCCAAGATGCTCATTTCCTTATGATTTAACAGTTTTTATATATGGCTTATTTTTATATCAGCTAACAGAAAAAAAATATTGTCATTTATCAAAACCCTGGTTTAAACATTTCTCAATCACGTTTTCTTACATTTATCTACAGCAAGTCCTGCTCCTTCTGGCTGGCTACACAGAATAGAGCTGAGGCACTAATGCCTTCATTCTTAAATGTCACTGCAGCCTAACTAAATTAATAAAGCCCATTTGCAGCTGGCTGATTAAACACTTGTCAATCAACCACAGTGCTCGTGGTCTCACAGGGTGCTGTGATTGGCCCTAATTCAATAAACCCTACAGCTGCAATTGAATTCTGTCTTAAAAGATAAGCAGAGGATTTGCTGGTGTCAGCTAGAAAAAACATGCAATCCCCTAATTAACACGCGCTTTTGGTAACACTTCAGATCACAGTCGTATCAGTAAGTTTTATAGGTGTGCATTGTCAACACGTTTGCGAGCCTGTATTATGTTTTCCAGGTATTTGGACATATGAGATTTGTAAAGACCTGGTTAATTGGTCAGGTGTTGAAAGCAAGATAGAGGGAACATGAGGATTATGAGATTAGTGGTCCGTCGGGGGAAACCTGATGTTTTGCCTAAACCAGATGAACTACGGAAAAGATAATTACAGCACTCATATGCCAAAAATAAGCAGTTCTACATTTCCCTCTCCTCTGCTTGTTGGGCTTCATTCTCTTCTTTCCTACATTCTATGGAATAATTCAAATACTTTTAGGTCCAAGCAAAGTTTATATCTCGGTTTAACAAAATCCTGTCCCCTCTATCTGCACATTAGCAGCGCAATTTGTAAGCAAAGTAATGCAGACAGCCTCAACAAGTGTGTGCTGTAGCAAATGTACTATAGAAAAGGCACATGCTGCCCTTGCAGTAGAATGAAAATTTCTTATGAGCATCTTGGTTAGTACCAGAAGGTTTCTAAGGACAACATAATCACACCTACATAAAACAACAGGTGGAACCAGACCTAAACCACTCATCCTAGTTAGAGCAATAATCCCCCTTTAAACCATGTTTTCATTAACTGACAGTGTTACACTCCTGAAATACAGTTTATCCTTCCACTGTCCCCTAGAAACACATCCATAACTAGTAAGTGAAAATCCTTGAAACAGCCCCAAACAGTTTATTCTAAAGAGTTTATTCTAAAATTTTGCATATTTTAGCAATTATCAATTACTCAAAAAGGGTAGGAAGTTCTGGTATACTGAATATGGAGCTGGGAAGTTCCCCACATCTTACTAAAGCAATTTGTTGTGTTAGATGCCAATATTGATTTTAGTTGTGGAGCGAACAGTAATCAGTAATAATAGAGTTATTAAAATAATAAAACTGGTATCTCTTAAGTGATAATAAAGAATATTCACTCTAGGAATGCTTTAGTCTTAACCAAAAAAAAAAAAATCACATCAAGCATAGTATGAGGTTTACCCACAAAAATTTACCAAATCCAAGAATCTGTTCACGTACATTAACATATTCATATAGTCACTCTTCAAAACTACAGGTGCGTTAACAAAACACCTCTGCAAGTAACATTTTGTAAAACAAGATGGTAAGTAGAAAATGAAAAAAATGAAGAATGAAAGGTGTCATTGCAAATGGAAGTTAGGCAAGTGATTTTTGTGCTTGTGAGAACCACAGTATATGTGTTAATTTGTTCCCAAATTATGCAGGTGCCACTACCTTTGCAGAATATAAAAATAAATTTTTGAAGGTTTTTCTATTTTTGTGATGTGACTGGAGTGCATAGACATTCTCATCCTTGTACATACTGACCCTGATTTTTATTCCTCTGCATCATATTTCATCATTCATACCTGACTACGGAACACGTAAAAGAAATATATCCTAAAATAAAAGTATCAGTGGTCTGCACAAGCAACAGTGACAACACAGGTTCAGTCATACTACTCTTAGGAGAGACTGGCCCCTAGGGACCACCAGCTTAATTACAGTGTACTCTGCAGTGGAAATATGCAACGGTGAGGTGACATTGCTGTAAAAGTGATTTTATATTCTGTTGTGTTATTCTCTTTGAAGATCTAACTAAAAGATCTCAGAAAGTCAGCAGAAAAGAGGCAGAAAACAAGAAATCATCCAAGGTAAGTGGCTGTTCCAAAAACATTTTCCAGTTAGAGTGGCTATTATTTCTAATACCACTCCTCAGTGCATTTATTGGACAGGTTTACACAGCCCTCTCCTGATCTAAATAAGTTGCACAAATGTCAAAATCTCAATACTGTAAAAGCAGAATCACACAAGGGTTGAGGCTGGAAGGGACCTGGAGATGACCTAGTCTAACATCTCTGATCAAGCAGGGAAAAGATGCAGAGCACTAGTGGAAAAAAAAACCTTAGCTTAATTACAGCTTATAGCTGTTCTGTATCTCTTTCAACACAAAACAATTTAACCTAAATCTTTTTATAGTATTGGCAAAACTTTTTAGTGTCTGCAAAAGAATACATTCCCAGAAACAGCATGTAGGTTAACTGTGCAGGTCTGCAGTGCAGAGGCATAAGCAGAGGCTTAATCTACTGTTTTTAAACTGTCGATGCAAAATAGCTGAAATGGAAGCATCCTAAGAAGTTGGCATGTGGCTGAAAACATTAACCAGCAGTTTTATTGGGTCACTAGAAAAAGATTGATGGGTTTGTTATTTGACGTAGTGTTACTCATAGCTGTCAAACACGAACTGTTTCGTGGGCCAGACTCCTAAAGACTATCAGGGAGGGTAGAAAACAGCGTTTTCCTTTTACAATTAATTAGTCATGACAGCCATTTATAGCCAACTTGGGCATTACTGCAACAACAAATATTTGGATTTCCTTCTTTTCCTTTCTAATATGCGTCTTATGGGGTCAATCTTCCTTCCTTGTTAAATTCACAGGAATATTAAGGCTAGAAAGACCTCAAGAGATTGTCTAGTTCCACCTTCTGCTTGAGGCAGGAAATTCTTAGAAGTGTTATCCAGGTATTTTATCCTAGAGCACCTAGGAGACTTCAAAATAATTTGTAACTTACAGCTGAAATTTGTGAAAACTGAAAAGTTAAAAAGAAAATAAAAACCCATTCAGAGCTCCAGAGGTCTGGCTCAAGCCCCAGGACGTGCTGATCAAGCTAAAGTTTCCCCTCTTCCCAACCATACAGAGGTAACATTTTTTTTTTCAGTCCACCTCTCAATGACTGTGATTAAAGATCCCCGTGCACAAATCTGATGCAGAAAGGGTTACCTCGTTCCAAAAGCAGCCTGAAAAGCCAACTGTGTGAGGAGGGTATTGACACATGACAGCCCCTCTTTGTCTCATCCTCACAGTCTATAAAACAAAGCAGATAGGAACTCCATGGATTGTCAGGGAGGTTTCCTTCTTTTATTTGAAAAGTTCCCGAATCCAAGAGTAATTAATCATTTCATTTTGCCTATAACACTATTCTCGTCTCTGAAGACTGAATCCCTTTCATTGCTAGGGCAGCCTCATGCCGTGCAATATCTTCTAAAACTTTATCCACTCATGTTTCTAATTACTCCAAAAATGGGGTTCATGCCATGCCAAACATTTCCCTTGAGAGGTTGCTCTCAGACCAGCATTTCCCATGTTCTGATCTCATCACGTCAACTCTATATTGCTACTAATATAGATTTTACTACAAGCAACTGCCTATTGATATCAAGCCAGAAGTTCCCATGGTTCGATTTCTATGCATCTATTTTTAATTCTAACTAATAGTGGTTTTATGGTAGTATGAATTTTCATGCCTCTCTCCTAGAAAAATGCTGAACCGAAGACATCTCCAAAACCAAGGCCCACACCTGCAGCTGACTGCGTGCCAAATTTCAAAACCTGCAAGCCACACTTGAATTCATGTTGTAACTACTGTGCTCTGTGCAAATGCCGAATTTTTCAGACCATCTGCCAGTGTCTGCTGTTAAACCCCAAGTGCTAAGGCAAACCAGGAACACATTCAGGCTCTGTCTTTCATTAGCTTCTCAAGTGTATATTTCAAACTGTCTCATGTGTTGCAATCAATTAGAGCTTTGAAGCTGGTAGATTGGATTTACCTCTCCTAAAACTAAATGGATAATAGTTTGGTTCTTTCTTTTCACGGGGTGACGTTATCATAAACAGGATATTTTTTTAAGGGAGTGCTCAGCCAGAGAGATGGACACTGAACAAGTATTTTCAGCAGAGCTGACCCGCATTTAAAGAAGAAAGTCTTTTTTTTTTGTTTCTTTTCCTGAAGGGTAACACCATCAGACTGTAATATCGTCCAATCAGAACTTGCAAGACCTACACTAATAACAGACAAATGACCACAATCAAATGGTCTTGGTTAATCCAGTGATGAACCAAGGCTTAGAGTTGCCCACAGGACGTCACTGCTCAAGCTCCTAACAGAACCAAACTACCCAGTTAAAAATGCAGGTTTGGAGATTCACTCCCACCTCACACATTCAACAAAATTTAGGAGTTTAAGTTACTCTATTTAGGAAAAAAAAAAAAAAACAGATCCAAAACAGACAGGAAATGCTGTAATTACCCCCCACATGAGCTTCAGTATCTGTACACTCATACCCAGGGTTTCCAGGAGCTCCAGGATGTATAATCTGCATGTATAGTCTCACCTAAATGTATCTGTGCCTTATGAGTTAGATTTTTTTCCCCAGACATGAGAAAGCAATCCCTAACACTTTGCCTCCTGCTGCCCTAGACATGGTACGTGTCATTTCATCTAGAGACCAAAACCAGGAACACATACCCAGGACATAAAGGAAGAAAGGAAAGATGAGAAAAAAGGAAATGTGTAGCCCACGTGTACAATCTGAAGAAAACTGCTACAAGCAATCCATCTTCTTTCTTCAAGTCCATATGTACGTTCTCACTGTGGGCTATTCCTAGCACCTACCTAGCCATGAATTTGGCTGGCAAGCTTCATGCAAACAGTAACTGCAAAAAAAAAAAACGTGCAAGAGTTGCATCAACCCTCGAAGAGTCAGAAATAGTTCTGTGGTTAGGGAAGGTATGCATCAAGACCTGGGCAGCAGGATATAAACGCCCCAAAACATTTTTCTCTTTTGAGAGAATTGGGTCTTCTCTTCTTGAAGATCCAATCTTGAGTTGTCCAAGGTGGCATAGCTGGGAATCCCTCGTTTGCCAAAATACAGAGAGATGGGATAGGTCATGAGAGAGGGAGGAGCAGACCTGAAAACTGTCTCCAGAATTCAAGATTTCACCTACCAAAACCCAGATCTGTCATTTTTTTTACCTTCTCTCTTGTGTGTCCACAATGTTCTCCTCTCTCCCCACTCCTTTACAGTCTTTTCTTCTGTGGTTTGTTCTCGAGTCTTTCCCTTGCTCCCACTGTTACTGCCAGTCATTAGAAGCATCATCTGCACTATTGCTATTTATCTTTCTGCATTCACTCTGCCTGCCTGTGAAACGACTGTAACAACATTCCTGCCAATGCCTTTGGCTTCTCTAATTATGAATTTCTCATCAATCATGAATTTTCTATTGCTATGAGCAAGGCAAGCATTGGGCAAGCATTTCTTTACCAATTTATTGGCCAGCACAGCTAAGGGCTACAAGATGTTTCAGTCAGGTAAGAACAATATAGGTGATATGAACACTCTGCAAAGTAGCTCATTTAAAAAAAAAAAAAAAAAAAAAAGACCAGAGCTCAAAACTTAGGCCAGATGTTAACAAAAAATATCTGTCCATAAAGATATATAAAGCTGATAGCAAAATTTCATCCGAGAAAGCCTAAACAGTACACAGTATCATTGCACCCAGCTGATAAGATGCATCAGATGTCAAACGTGGCAACCATGGATTCTTGTAAAGCAACATAGCTGTTTCTTTTAATGAGTCATTTTGGCTAAGGAATCTGTAAAACTATTCAGTTATTATAAAAAAGAGGAAGAAGAACAATACATGTTATGACAGTCCCTTAGAAAAGAATTCAGCATCTCCTTTTAGGAAGGATAGCTGCAAGCTCCTGTCAGGGAGTTCCAAATAATGTGTCCAAAAAGTGTCAAAAAGTGTATTGGTTGATATTAAACTTATATTAATAATCGCACCAACTTCTAAAGTGGAAACTAAATCATTTTCTTATAGAAACGGTGTGGTAGCCAGAAAAAAAAAGATGCATTTTAGTGGGGGCAAATGGGTGAAGCAGATGAGGAAAAGGGAAAGAAGCAGAGCTAGAAATCCAACAGAGCAGCTCACGTGTCATCTTCCTCGCAGTAGCTGCCACCCCAGCGCGTGTCGTCGGCCCAGGGAACGGGAAGTGCCGACGGCCACGACGAGGGCCTCGAGATGCAGAGGCTGAGCTAGAGAAAGATGGGACCATTTACACAGTGAAAGAAAAGAAAATGCTCTTTCCTTTGAGAAGGAGGGGATTTGTTACTAAGCATATACTTCATATAGCATTTATGCATAGTGCATTTTGACAAATTTGAAAAGCCTTTTTTTTTTTGTAGCTGGAATTGATTAGAAAGATCTTATGCTTTCTTTGCTGCTCATCTATCATACTGAAGAATATATAAAATGAAATACTTTGAAATTGTTGTTAACCTGAATGACTTTGCTTTTCCAGCTATAGATCACGTTGTATGAGGTATTGATAGGATACAGAAATCAGTAAAACATGTACACATACTATTTGTTTCCTGTATTTTGTTCGAACAGTTATTTATGTTGGATTGTTGTGAGAGTTTCCCATCTGAAATGTCATCAGCACATCAGTGATAAAATATACACACAGCAAAGACGGAGCGTTTAATTTTCAGTTGCCACATGCCAAAGTGTCCCTAATGAAACCTTCGTCACAGTGCAGACCCAACAGTGCTCCAAGACACTGTCTCGTTCTGCTCATGCGATTAAAGAAAGTTTTGCCCTGACACAGCCAAGCAGAATTCAGTACAAATCAATTACTATTAGCTTTTCCAAATATTATTTAGCAGAGACTCTATTTTCCATCCAAAGTCCTGATCTGATTGCTTATTGTCCAACTCAGACTGTAAAAATCCACATTTACCCCAATAAACACAAGTTAGTAGAATCAACATTTCCACAACAGCAGCTTCCAACATCTTGCAGTCTCCTAGGCTAATGCTTGAAACCATCCAGAAGACCCATGAAGGAAAACAAACAACTTTGCCATGTCAATCTTTAGGATCTTCTCCCAAAAGGAATAATTTGATGGAAGACAGCACCACTTTTTCCAAGCTCCATAGATGAGTCAATAGTATTTGTGATGCAGCAGCTTTGTCTCCAGCTGCCAAATAAAGTTTAAAGTCCTTCTGAGACATAGATATAGGGTCAGCTGCACAACAAAATGAATAATTTTAAACTTTAATGAGGTAATTTCCTTCTAGTAAATTATTCCTCTTACAGAGGATAAAAATTAGAGGCATGGTCCAGATTTCAGTCTTGAATTTGCTGAAGTTCCCACTGCTTAATCTTACCTGAAGAATTTTTGCAAGAAGAACTTCAAACAAAAGAGGGGCCAGGACGTGCTCAGCCTTCTTTGGCAAAAGGCCACACTTGCTTTCATTGAACTTCATGGGGTTCCTGTCAGCTCCTCTATCTGGCCTTTTAAAGTCACTCTGAATAGCAGCCATGTTCTCAAATGTATGAGCCACAAAGGCTCATGGTTTTTAAGGAAAACAAATGTTTTCCTTAAAAAAATGTTTTTCCTTAAAAAAAATTTTCCTTAACATGTTTATAATAATCTGGAAGAGAAGGTAGAGACAGGGACTGCAACTTAAAACACAGAGCAGCTTGATCAGGACTCCAGGAAGATGTTGCCCCTACCCTGGATTTAGGATTATCTTCACGCGTGATGCATTAGTACCACCCAACCTTTTAAGGATGACATCAGGAATCATCTCAGAAAGGAATCCAGGGCTAAAGGAGAAGCTGTGAGCTCTGTTTCAGATGCAAACAGTGTAACTGCCCCAACCGTGTGCTTCTCCAGTCATAGGGATGAGAGCGGCTCCCACACCGCGTTTGGTGGGCACCCCACCACGTTCAGTGAGTTTGTGAAGTCACTCATACAGCTAAAGTCTATGGTCAGAAATCACAATTTACCCATAGCAATGTAACGAGGACCATTATAGAAAGGTCCACATAAGCAGCCATCACCAGATCTCAGCCACCTGTGCGTAACTTTTCTCAGTTTCATCTCTGGTCTATGTTGTCTTAATTTTCATTTCATCCATATCCAAACTCTACTAGGTATTTTCCAATGGCATTAGCAGCTCCTGCCACATGGATAAAGCACAGAGTTTTGGGGACATAAACACATATATTGCATATATTGTACACAATATGTATTTCCTTCCTAAACTTTTTATCAGCTCCTTAAGTCTGTCAAACCGAAGAGACAAAAAAAAAAAAAAAACATGGAGTTCTTTATAAAAACTAAACTTAGCTACCTACTGGAGCCTTTGTAAAACCCTCAGACTTCAGTAATGACATTATTCACAAGAAAAGTCCTCTAATTAACAAACCAGAAAAAGGCACTTTCCCTCCATTATGTTTTTTTCCATTATTACTCTCAGAAATTTAGCAGTACTTCGGTCATGCTAATGCCATATGTGAGCACAAGAAGACAGCATCTTCTCCCAAGAGCCCCAGATTAAAGGCTCCGAGATGTCCTGCAGCTAATTCCTATAAAATACTGACTATTCCCAATTTCCATAGATTCAACAATATGTTGAGGATTGTGCATCCAGCAGAACCTCAGAACTTGCTTCTTCATTAGTTACTTCAAGCATATCAAACAATGACAACAGTGATAAAAGTTTTATATCTCATGAGAATTTGGAGTTTTCTTCCCCTTCCTCAGCAAATGACACTGATCTGAGGGACAAGACACTCAAATACCAGTCCTGCATGCAGAGCTACTTCAGCTTTTTCTATCGCTCAGTTTCCAAGATCTCTAAGTGGACTTTCTACTTCTTCTACACTTACAGTCCTAATGACCTAAAACAAGGGGGTAGGAAAATCCACCTCAGTGTTTTTACCTTTCTAATGAATATTCACAAAGGGAATGGCTCTGCAACATAAACATGAGTGCCCTATCATTTTAGGCATTTGAGGGTATCAGAGATGCCCATATAAGACTGGGAGATGTGACCTAGGACTTGAGGAGACTGTGTCCAGCTGGAGCAGCAGAAGCCTGGAGAGATGCACAGACCATCTAAAACTATAATTAATCGCTCTCAAAATGCCTTTCTTGAATTTGCAGGGCCATCAGATGACTTTTCAAGGTAATACTGAGATTTTATTGGCAAAATTCTCAGATAATTTGCATGCGGTCAACATACGGCTAAGTCCCTCTCCCAGCTCTCTCAAAAGAAATGGGAGGCTTTGGTCATCACTGC